TGAGCCCCAGTTCAGTATTGGGATTCTGTTTAACATGGCCTGTGCACTGCTAGAGGGAAGAGGAGCAGATGGCTTGGTACAGATAAGTGGGCAAATTCCCATGCAGTTGGGAGAAGCTGACATGAATCGTAGCTGCTGTACACGGTAATGTGTTCATCTGCAGAATCCAAGGGAGGCAGATCAGAGATTGCTGGGCAGATTAACTCAGGCAAAACTCCAGATGAGCGCTTGCTGAGTCTGGAGTCTGAAAATGATGCATATGTTGGATTGCAAGAAATAACACGTTGTTTTCTGCATCTCTGTTTTTCAGCCTGTGCTATTTCCTCGTCGAGGCTGGCAGGCCCTAGGCTTTTACTTCATTGAGGTTTTTTGTTAGTCTTGCTTCAGTATTGCTTTAAAAGGCCCAGATTCTGCATATAGTATTTTCCATTTTCCAGCTGAACAAAGGAAAAGTCGAGGACTTCTTGTAGAGACAATGAGAAGCATGGTTTCTTCCACCTAGTAAAGAATCGAAATCACTTACTAAATGCTTGAATCTATAAACTACTTAGATACATGTAACTTTGAAAGGAGGAAAAGCGTGAAAGAAATAAATAGCAGTCAGTAGCAAAGAATTTCACGTACTCTGCAAGAGAATCCCCATTGCTCTCTGGAGCTCAGTCTGTGCTCCATTCAGGGCACAATCAAGTACCTTATGTTATGGGCAGGAACCTTACAACACAACATTCATAGAAGACAGTGCCCCTTCTATGGATAGGGTTGGTTTAGCATCCGTGCTGAGGCCCTGGAGTGGAAGAGAGCATGTCGTTCCAGGCACTGCTGGTAAGGGCCTCTGCGGCACAGACTGCTCCCCTGACTCTGAAGGTCTGGTGCTTCTGCTCTGATCTACTTTTAAGTCACGCATCTGTTCACCACAGTGATTGTATTCAAGATCTTGAGTGACATACCCTGTCTGGGGGTCCTTTTTTAGCTAAAGGACGCGTGCCGTGCTGTTCTTTTAGTTGCTGAAAACGAAGGCAAATCGGCATCTGAAGCACACAGCAATGAGTCTGTCAGCATCCAAACGAAAGTCAGGAACTCACCTATAAAGAAGGTAGTGATAAGCAGAGATAATGACTGTTCAAGGATAACAACCTTTGAAATAGCAAATGTATAAAAGGGTAAAGGAAAGCAGACTCCTAGAAAGAGGAATGATTGGGGTTGTCTCTGAAGGCAGTTCAGTCAGAAAGGGATGTGGACAACTGAACCCACCATCCCCCCAGAACTGAACCTGATTAAAATCTCTCTTCAAAAGTACTTTAAAATAAAGGATGCAGCAATAGAAATCCTGCAAATGACTCACTGCTTTGTGTTGTAGTACCAAGGCATTTTTACTATAGCAGGGTATGACCTAAAATCAGATTTATTTTCTTGTGGAATCAAAACCTCTTTTAGACAATACAGTTACTACTCCCTTCAGTCTGATCAAAGCATGTTGTCTTTTGCTGTTGTTTTTTCGGTCAATTCTGAATAATCAAAACGTCTGTATGAATTTTTTTTTTTCCTTTCCATGAAGATTATTATTTGAAAACTGGAACTTTAAAAGGCCCTCTTCACTGAAATGTATTGGGATTTCTGCTTGTCAGGCATATATTTAGCATACTTAAAACTCCAGAGGAAGTTGCTTAAATAACTTAATTTTTATATCAAGAGCACAAACACCATGGCTCCATAAAGCTCCATTGTTGTGTCAAACAGTTTGTATGATAGTGTCATCCCATCACACTGAAACGCCATTCGTAAAGTCATACACGTGTCCCTGTGCTAACTGACCTTTATTTTCTTTCGCAAAGGGAACTGCCCAAGTGATAGCACTGCTTAAGCCACGCATCCATGCTTATTCGAAATAAGATGCACTGAAGTCTCCCTTTCTGTGCATTTCAAGATCAGCGCATGCCTCAGGTGTAGTTCACTGATGACTTTAAGCTAAATGTAGGCTGTCACTGCAAGGGCCACTTCCCCACAGTCCTCATCTGACTGCGCCTGCCACCATTCATACATTGGCATTAACATGGGGAACCCGGTCAGGGAGCTGATCCAGCTGAAAACTAACCCAGCAAAAGAAAAATCCTTGTAGTATCTGGTCGAATAATCTAAACTCCAAATTAAGTAATTTTCTAGCAGTGACTACTCAGTAGAGAACCACTAACCTGCTGGGTGACACGGAGCAGCTTTCTGTGTCCTTGTGCAGTTGTTTGTCCTTCCTCTTTTTCTGTTTACTATGCGTATTTAGATTATGAGCTCCTCAGGGCAAGAACCATCTCTCAGTATGTTTGCACGGTGTGGTCTAAACGTGCAGGTGTAAATGTATGGCAAATCAGATATGATGATAAGCCAAGATAATCTTTAATATTAGCTGATAGGATATCTTACAGGCAAAATCTTATCGTGACATTAAAGGTTTTGTGTTTGGAGTCTCCTACAGAAAGAATGGGATTGACAATTAAGGTCCCAGTTCCTCAGTTTTTCCAAAGCTGAAAATTGCAACACAGGTTAATAACTACCAGCTCGATTGTCCTTTCACTTACACTGTTTATACCAAATCGTAAGTATGCATTAATGTGGGTGCTGTTCCATCAGTGGGACTGAAAGAAAGATGAAGTCCAGTTATTTCTGAAACTTTTACAGCAGCCAGAAAAATCACACAGGTAAGGTGAGTTAATGCTGAAGAGAGAAATGGCTTTTAATACAGCTATGGTTCCACCTCCTGCAGTACCTTTAAGCATGTATTAATGTTGGGCATATTTATTCATATCTAATATGGGAAATGTTTAAGAGAAATTACTCAGTGGCTGGCATTTCATAGAAGAATAAGGACTTAAAACTTTTTTCCTCCATTTTTTAGCTATACCAGTAGAAACTGCCAAACAAAATGCAAACGTTGCTTTGGTTCTGACTTCGTGCGGAGGACATATTGGTTTTCTGGAAGGAATATGGCCAAGGAAGTGCACTTACATGGACAGAGTCTTCAAGCAGTTTGTGCAAGCTATGTTTGAGCATGGAAACAAAATCTTTAGCATGTAGCTTTGGACCACTATTCTAGCACAGTGGCACATTCTGACAAGGGCAGTTAAGCTTAATGCACAAATTTTAACTCCTGTAAGCCAGCAAATGGATAAAGTCCATTACTACATGCAAAAATATTTTTTGCCTAAGATTTTGTAGCAAGAAACTAAATATTACATTGTCACTTTTATATTTATTTTTAATATGCCTTACTAAGAATGACCTTAAATGAAACAGCATTCTGCATATGTCAAATTGCACTTAACCAAACCCATCAAGTAAACAGCTTATAATTCCTCAGGATTTTAATTTAAACTAGTACATATTTAGGAGACTTAATTTAGATCGCTTTTAATATTAGAACGGCGGCACTTAAAATAGCATATACTATCCTGTCACACATAGTACAAGTTGGCCCATTCCTTAGGGCACTGATGGTGAAAATCTTAAAATATGAAAACAAAGGAGGAGTGAATGCAAAGAAGCACTGGTTCTCCAAATCAGTCAAAATTTCAGCATGTTATTGCATAGCATTAGATTGATACCTGCTCTTGCTGTTCTACCCTGACAGTATTCAGATTTAGGGCTAGTTGTTGTTTTTTAAACTGTGTCAATGCCATACTTGTCTTACATGATTGTTTTTTAAACAGCTAATTTATAGCGTTTACATATAACCAAAAGATTCCTTTAAAACAGTACTGTAATAACTTATGTAATTAAAAGACATGTTGCATTTCAAAGTTCATGTAAAGCTGGGTGTTGTCATGTATGTAATATGTACTTCATACAACTGGTAAACTCGATGATTCTATCTGTTATGTTTATATTACCCTGCAAGAACATTTCAGTTTTAAAGAATAGACATTAGAACATCAGGAAATTATGATATAATCTGCTTTAAATTAAAAAAAAATATATATATCCAAACCCTTTGTCTCTGCTATTGTTTCAGATAATTTCTAAATGTATGTAACATACTGTTTAAAGAAAGCTGGGAGCTGGGGAGGGGGGTTGGAGCCCCTTTTCTCTGCTTTGTTTATTTGATATTTTGTCAGCACTTCGGCAATAGGTTGAGAAATCATTGAAGCCTTTGCAAACAGATTTCTGCCCTAATGGCTTACGAGTTCTTGAGGCTGACCTCAAGACATCACTGTTCTCCTCAGCCCTGACACAGAGTGAGAGCCAATGTGGACCTTTGAGGAAAAATGACAGTTGGACGGAATGTATTTTGAAACTGTTGGGAAGTCCTAATTTAGGACATTAAAAAAAGGCTTTTAACCAGCTTCTGTGGAGCTCCCATCTTGTGCTGATCACTGATTTGTGCCCAGCCACACGAGATAAGGCACTAAAGATGCCTTTGCATTTTTATTTTTATCTTTTGAGCGGGGTCAGTACAAGAAGAAAACGCGGATAAAAAAGCAAGTCAGGTCTTTTGTCTCAAGCAGTACGTGAACAGCCCTCTCGCAAGGCATGTTTCCTAGTAACAGCAAAGGAAGAACAAAAATACTTTTTGTCCTTAGAAGAAGAAATTGGGACATGCTATAAGAACGCTAGCTTTGTAAGGTGGAACGTTAAAGTAAAAAATTGGAAAGTGCTTTCAAGTTTCGACTTTTCAGACAAGCATTGGCCCTTGCCCAAATAACAAAATCAAACTTATTTTTCCTCTAATAAGGAAAATGAGAAAAGTGACTTGTAAAAGCAGAATGAAATTTTGTGCATGTTACTAGAATACATGAAATCAGTATATTAGTAGGGTGCCTTATTTATTCTTACATTCATTTCCAGTTTTTATGTTCACACAAAACCAGTGAGCAATAAACAGTGTTTTGAGCATTATATTTGTAAAATAATTTGGATACAGTACTGTTCAAAACTCAGCATCAAGTATTCATAAAAATAAAACTACTTACATTAAAAGCATGCCTTACTGTTTAAATAAAAGTAACATGATTAACGGCAGAATTTCTGTCTTTTTGCACTGTCTTATTTCATTTAGGTCCAATCCTGTATATATACCCACATGAGACATTTCTCATTAAAGCTACGTCTTGAAAATGTCTATAAAGTTGGGATTTTTCCTCAAATCTAGAGTGCTTTTCCTTGCACCCCATTAGGGAAAATGCACTGTTGAAAGCACAGTGTGCAAAGCAGCAACAATCCAATTTTCCTATGGCTATCTTCAAGCCTTCCCAGTCAGATTTTCTGAAACATACAATGTAGACGCTTACCTCAGTTCTTGCAGAGGATACACAAACTAGCAGAAAAGTTCGTGTATGCTATGTGTTATCTTTGTACCTCGTACACAGAGTTTCACCAGTCAGCCAAAATACAGACTCCAGAATTCTGTGCAACTCCTCCATTCAATGTGAATGCCTAAGGCCTTTATTTGGCTTTTTATGTGACCTGAGTATCCAGACAGCAACAGGGATATGAAATGTTGGAGGTGGGAGAAAATCATTAGTTATCAATGGAAAGTACTGGAAGTACTGGAAAGATGGAGTATAATGACAATGAAATTCCAAGTCACAAAGGTTGCAGACACCTCTTAAAGAAAACTTCCTAGTTCAGAATCACATAGTAGTTGAAGTTGGAGGGGACCTCTAGAGATTATCTTGTCTAGTCCCCCTGCTCAAAACAGTACATATCACATACGTGTTCCAGAACATCCACCTCTTCTCAATTTGCTCTTGGAGTCAGTGCAAGGTACTGTTCTGTTTTTCTGTGAAGCCTTCAGTCACCCAGGAACCATCTGTGACCTTAGCTGTCTTACTACCAGATCAAGAAGACCAAGATTTTAAGATGTAATTTATTATGTCCACTCTTGGCAAATGGACTTAGAAAAAAATGAAAATTTCAAATAGAAAAATATGGTTCTATGAATGCAGAGAAACTAACCCACAGTATACGTTTCATACTCAACAGAAGAATGATTAATGCTCTTTTTAGAAACCGGGACGTATAACAGCATAGTTTACAAGACTTAGCAGAATGGGCTACGGAGAACAGTCCACAACTCTACAGAAGCTGGTGTCAAGAAAATGTCAATATAGCGCTGGTGACTATAGGCAGGTCATCATGGTTGTGTCAGTATTGCACCAAGTATCATGGTTCAGATATCAACACGCTGACTGTTGCGGAGTGTGACCACTCCGAGGACTAGACCGACCATCACAGAGATTGGAAAAGGGCTCCATTTTCAGAAATTACTCCCTAGATGTGGTTTAGGAAACTTCTCCTGCCCTTCTCCCTGCTGCAAGTCACCGTTTCCAACTGAGATCCAGTAGTCAACTGTTTCCGCCCTTCATATCAACAGAATGGAGCAGCTTGCTTAGCTCAGCAGTTCCCAAATGTTTCAGGCGATGGCCCCCTTCCCTTTTTCCGTAATTGCTGGACCCCTATGCGCCACTCACATACATACATATCCACTGTCTGGCCTGGCCCCAAACCTCTGCAAACCAACTGCCTTCCCTCCAGATGTAGCTCCCTACAGTCCTTTCTACCCCTGCTCCCCCCATTCCCTGAAACAAATCTCACATTCAGCACGCGAGAAAAATGGACAAGTCCCAGCCCAGATTTTTTCCCTGCAAAAAGAAAAACACCAAAACAAAACAAAAACCCCCGACTCTGACTCCTCTCCCCACCCCATTTTCAACATGCCCCCCCCTGCTTTCTTAGCTAGATCCCCTGTAAAGCTCTCTAACTCCAGGCAGTCAGGGCACCCTCCAATCCCAGTCGGCCCAGGTGCCATCCACGTGGGAATTTCATAGGGGAACTGCCCCTTTCACCTACAACTCCTACAGCTACCTGGCTCCTGCCAGTGACTCAAACCTGCCAGGAAGAGGACTTTTAGCCCCGCACGTGGTGCTCATGAGTCAAGTACACCGTGCTCTCCCCAGGCCGCTTCAGCTCAATGCACCATCGCCCTGAGAAAAAAAAAGAAAAGAGGAAACATTTGTTCTCTGAGTCACTGAGTTGCCATCAGGCACGGGGACCCTCCAGCCTGAGCCACGCACTGCTGTGGATGCCAGCTGGTCGAAAAGAGCCTTCTAATGCTCAAGGCAATGAAGAAGAAAGAGGAAGGTACAAAAAAGCCCAAGAGAATCTCCCCCCCACATGCCGGATCCCCTCCCCACAATAGGGTAGCAGTGCTTCTTACCAGCCAGCAAAGTAACTCCTGCTGTAGAATATCCCAGCCATGGGGGTTTTATGGTGGGTTGTTTTTTTTTTTATTTTTCATTCCAACAGAAGAAATGGGAAAAAATCTACCAAATGCACCAGCAGCCACAACAGCCAGCGGTTCTTCATTGGCAAACACATCTTCCTCCGTGGGATCCAATTTTCCTGTCTCTTTCTTTCTACTGTAGACACAAAAATCAACCTCTCCCTTCTTCCTGGATGACTGTAGAGGGACTTTTTGAATCTTCTGAATGGATCGAAATCTGGACCCTAAGCTGCCTCAGCTGCTCTTCCAGTTCCTTAAAGGATCCATACATTTAGTGATTAGAAAACCACTACTTTAAATCAGCTATCCTGTCCAAGGCATTCTTTTGATGCACTAGGAGTGTTTGCAGGGTTAATTGCAGCTGAGAGATTTAAGCACCTACTGCCTCTTGATTGTCAGTCACCACCTCCTCCATCATATGAGATGTCTGATAAGCAGTAGGGCAGGTTGGGAGTGTGTGAGCATGTCAAATGGGGCTGCAAGGTCTGCGTGCTAGCAGGACTGCTGTGATTGAGCTTGGGATCAAGAGCTCAGCCTTCTAACTATGTAGCCCACCCTAAGGATGCAGTTTCACAAGCAGCTGCCAATGTTAACAGCTCCCTCATGCCAAAAGGGAAAGGCTTGCTCTTCCTCCTCCCCCGCCTTTTCTTATCCTCCCTGATTCCAGTCACATGGTCCTCAGTGTTTCTTGCCCCTGCAGAATATGATCCATTTTTTCCACTGGGTTAATTTTTTGCTAGCTCAGTGAGTTAAATTTGCTTGCCTAGAGGAGTCCCTCAGCTGCTAGAGGGTGGGTGGTATGAGGTAAGGAGCTGGAGCACACTGCTGCGAGTGGGGAAAGAAAGTGGAGAAAATAGTGGGAGAGGCTTTCCCTTTTTGGTGGCAGTCAGCTGTTACACAGGGCCACTGCATCTCCCAAAGCTGTAGCTCAACAGGGCACTCTCTTCAATTAGTGCAATGATCCATATATCGGCTGAGTTATTGCTCCTGTGAAGAATGACATAACCTAAGAGCAAGTCATTTTTCACTCAGCTGCAGTCAACAGGCACTCCGGCAGTATTACAGTAGTGGCAGACAAGACTAAATTAACATAAAATCCTTTTGGGGTTAATTCCGTTCTATCCACATACTTCCCTTACGTGAATGCAGTTCCTCTTTCCTCCCCAGGTCCCTTAGTTCTACAGCAAATCCGTGCCCGAGCATCGCTCTTCATATTCACCACAACTTCTGAAGACAGTAAATTTCTGTTAAGTTTGCGTTCTTTCAGCAAAGTGACATTTGCTAGCAAGTTCACACCGACATCAGTGCTTCAAAATACTGCCACCTTCTGTGGAAAAGTGGAAATGTACCCATGTTCCTCCATCCCATGAATTGAGATTTTCCCAAGTTTTGGAATTTAATGCTTTATAAGAATGTCTGTTTCTTT